TCAGAAGATGGTTCTATGGTAATGCAACAGGGATCCCTGCAATTAAGACCAATGACATACCTGCAACACACATATTCGTGATTGTCACAGGCTAACTTACACACATAATGACCGATGTAACACACTCATATCCTTGCTTGAAGGGAATGTTTCACATTTGGAGATACTGAAATAAGCACCAGATATGATGAAACAAGTTCACATATAACTATTTGTAAACTTAGTAGAAAATACTGCTCTAGATGATGCAATATCTATGTTGAGCAAATATGCTGCCTGATATGTCATTACTCCAGTATGTCATCATACCTTGCACAACATCAGCTTATTGATAGCCATTATGCCAGGAAACTGTGCTCATGAATGCCACATGTTCATGACCCAAACATAATATTTTTCTTGGCCTTAATTGTTGCATGGTTTATGGAATGACAGGATACAAATAGTATTACGATGTCATGAATGCCAAGGTGACCTTGAAGTACTCAACCCAAAAATGTCTCCCCATCTTTGCATGTGTATGACTAAAAAACTAGAGGGGTTTAGGTCTCAAGAAGGGGTGGGCTATGAGCTCCACCCAATGACCTTCAGAATGGATTGTTTGGTTCAAAACCCCATAGAACTGGGGAACACTCCCTTTAACAAATACACACATGTAACAACTTAACAAGCCAAAATGAGCTGGCTTTACAGGTCATGCTCCCCACTTGTATTGGGTTTTGAAATAAACTGGTCATTTTGATGGTCATTTAGTGGAGTTCACAACCCTGCCCTCCTTCACAGGTAAAACCCTTTAACTTCTGGGCTGCACATCCTGAAGATGTGCATGCTATTTCATAAAAACTATTTCAAGGACATTCAGGAATACGTGATGTCATAGCATTACCATTAACATCCTGTCACCCCAAAGACCACACAGTATTCAAAGTGAGGAAGAATATTATCTATGCTCAGATCTGGTTACATAAGCACAACTTCAAACTTACTGGACATCACTCGGCCCTTAAACAATGTTGAGCAGGCTGGGCCAGCTTCAACCACAAAGCATGTTTTGTGCTACATAATGTAAGAAGTTGGACATGTTTTCTTCACCTGCTAGTTATTACAGAAGTAAGACTTGTAATAGAGCAATGTAAGAATAATGTGATGAAATAAATAAATAATCAAGACTTGTGATGGAATAACCCTATAACTGATCATGTGAATACATCTTATGCTTCTTACTCATTGATAAATATGTGAGAACACAACAAGAAAGTGCTAAAACACAAGCACATGAGATCTGGGTCACCAACCACTTCCAGCAATGCATGCCATCCCTTGACCAGTTCAAAGTAATACCAGAGAGAATTTTGCATGACTAGTTTGGCAGCACCTTGTTGCATATTATTTACTAGGGAGAAATTATGTTGTCTTGAGCAGCTTTTTCTGCTTAAAAATCAGCCAGGGTGTACTTTCCTACCTGACGTTGGAAAAAATCATTGAACACCATTTGTCGTGTTTAAGGCAGGACATATTGTAAATAATCACAAAACAGGTAGATTCATGCTCTAACCTCAAATTTTCTTATAATTACGATGGCGAGCTCCCGAGCGCCACACACACACACACAGCAGCCGTGACACTGGCGCCATTACTGCAGGCGGTCACAACATTCAAGCAGCATCAAGAACCATAAAACTGTATGGGGCCAAGGTAACAAGAATCCATGGAATTTGATCCTCGACGCCAACCGGACAATGGGTTGCAGGGGGATTGAGTGGGGAATGTAAAGCAAAATGAGAACATGCTGGCTAAATAAAAGCTCACTATACAGTGCCTATATATGGCATGAAACATGGATGCCAATGGGATGTTGGGTTTAAGGGGATATAGGGTGGGGAGGTTAGGTTAGGTTAGGTTAGGTTAGTTGGGTTGGGTTGGGTTGGGTTGGTTGGGTTAGGTTAGGTTAGGTTAGGTTAGGTTAGGTTAGGTTAGGTTAGGTTAGGTTAGGTTAGGTTAGGTTAGGTTAGGTAAGGTAAGGTTAGGTAGGTAAGGTTAGGTAGGTAGGTTAGGTTAGGTTAGGTTAGGTTAGGTTAGGTTAGGTTAGGTTAGGTTAGGTAAGGTAAGGTTAGGTTGCATTACATTAGGTTAGATTAGGTTAGGTTAGGTAAGGTAAGATAAGGTAAGGATAGGTTAGATTACATTAGGTTAGGTTAGGTTAGGTTAGGTTAGGCTAGTTTAGGATATGTTCTGGACCATTCTGGCCTGTGTGTTTCATAAACATACCTAAACGTGATAAACGATTTTCATTGCATTATTGTTGTGACCTTGGTCCCCTACATTTTTTTATGGCTCTTGATAAGCAGAAATATTGTAATTACACAACACAGAAACAGCGCTGGGGAGTCCTGGCGGGGCAGGGCTGTGCGGTGCTCGGGGGCTCGCTATCATATTTACTAAAAGTTGAAGATAGGGGCATGATTCTACCTGTTTTGAGATTATTTATGATATATTCCGCCTTAACCACAACAAATGGTATACAATTTTTTCTAGTGTTAGGTAGCAAAGTACACCTAAACCTAAAAATCTACCAGTAGTTATAAGTGAGCTTGTTTCATCACATCTCCCGCTTGCTTCAACAGCTCTGAATATTGCACATTTCCATCAAGCAGCACTGAGACCTGGGACATCCAGCATCCTTTATTTTACAGCAGCCAGAGTGAAGTTGTGGTGCAGAGTAGGAG